CCCCCCCCGAACATTATAAACCCAGAACATACAGACTTCAGGTTAAAGCTACAGAGAATCCTAGTGTTTGGTAGCTAAAAAATATGGAGGCGATGGAAACTGTGTTTTTGGGGTCATTTGAAGCGAGCCTGGACAGTGCAAGAGAGAGCAAGCTGATTATCTGTTATGTCATAGCCAGCCACTATGTATAATGAGTACATAAGCTGTATGCACCGGTTGCAGGCAAAGAGACAGCCTTGTGACTGGAAGTCTGCAGGCCTGATTACTATTCCCAGCTCTGACACGGACTTCGTCCGGCTGCTGTGCTGAGAACCTCTGGAAAAAAGATCAAGCCACTTTTTTGCATTCCATGCTTAAAAATGGATTTAGGTATCTAATTTTAGGTACCCAGATTTGAAAATGATGGCCTTAACTTCTGAGTGGCTCACTTTCTACTTCTGAAACAAGAGGATAGTACTCCCTTGCATTATAAAATATGAAGATAGGGTGATGCTGAATTAATTAATTAATATTTACCAAAACTTTCAGATGCAAGACCCTTTAGCTAGTATGCGCTGAGCATGTGTGGCAGCTCAGCACAGTGGCAGTGTCTCAGTACAGCACTTGCTTTGCACCAAATCCAGGTGTGGCCTTTCCTCTGTTTCTAATGATCTTGAAAGTCATACCTAACAACAGAAGGAAAACCCTAAAAGCTGTTGACTAGAAATCTTAGATAACATACAGCACACTAGAAGATAAGGCACCCTTTGGGAGGGACCCTTCTTGGTAATAAAATTGGAGCAGAAGCCAGGAAAATTACTTGCTGCATCTGACACTTAGTTAAACAGGAGATGCATCTTCTTTGTCAAGTATGACTGGCCATTAGTGCCGTTGGGTAAGGAGCACTAGTTCTCGTGAGTGCTGGAAGTTGATAGAGTTCTGCCCAAAATGTGGATTTCCTTCACCTAAATAATTCTGACTTCCTGTGGCAGAATTATATTTGACAGGGTCAAGCAGAAAGGATGGGTTTCTAAGTCTTATAGCTGTAAGGGTCACTCCTAAACAGGAAGAGGAATAAGTGAATGGCCCTTAAATTGAAGGCCCTTGCTGTGTGTAGGTGTAGAATAAATTCACCTCAGCACATTTTAATTACTGAGTCACCTGTACAGTTTTTTTCCATTATCAAAATGAAGAGAGTGATTTTATGCATTTAAAACTGGGAAATATCTGGGAGAGGTTAGGTTTCCTCCTACTATACCTGCAGAGAATGCTGAGAGGAACTAGCTCTGTTTCAGCTCTAGGGAGTGAAAAAAAAATCTCCCTTCATGCAAAAAAAAAAAAAAAAAAAAGTCTAGTCCTCTTAAGCTTGGAAGATGATTGAAGCCCAATGTATGGGGATGTGGATATAAAATAGAAACTCTTGAGCCTCAACAGGGTCTCTATTTGCAGTCTCCAAATCTGAAGCTGTTAAGCTTCTTCGTTGCTACACAGCTGATTTATAAAAAGGTAGACCGAAAGATTTAGAATTGCAGTTTGTAAAGCAAATTTTTTGCCAGAAGTAGACCTAAGAAAGCCTTTCTTTGTACTTCTATGCATCTCTGTTTTAGTGTAGTCCTACTGGGTTTTTTTTAGCCAGGGCTAAAAGAACAGTAGGACAGTAAAAGATAATGGGTTCTAGCCTAGGCATTTTCACTATGGTTATGAGAGTGCCTTATTTCCTGAGGCAGACAAGGTTCCTTGGGTGAATCTGATATCTTTTATTAGACCAACTTAAATAGTTGGAAAACAATTATTAAGCAAGCTTTCGGGTTCAAAAACCCTTCGTCAGGCTAAGGAAGTTTCAGCAGTCGGTGTGTGCTCTTCCTGGATGGAATGAATAGTAAAGAAGCCAGAGGCTGGCATGCATGCAAGACAGGTAGTCAGTGAAGATGTAGTTTGAGGAGTCAATGGGTGAGAGAGAGGCTGGGGGAGGTGGGGGAAGAGAGAGAAGGGGGTTTAATAGTGGAGAGAGACCTGGGGAGTCAGATGTCAGGCAGGTTATAATGCGTCATAAATCCAATGTCTATATTTAGTCCGTGATTTTTAGTATTCAGGAGGTTGATGAAGTGAAGTTCATAGGCTCGTCTCTGGGAAGCGTTGTGTAAGTTTCCTTTGAGGATCAGGACTGAGAGATTGGAGAGAGAGTGGTTTTCTTGTGAGAAATGTGCCCCCACAGGTAATTGGGTATGAGGCCCTTCTAAGTGGAAAAACTCATGTATTTGGGTTGAGGCACATCTTTGCCAACCAGAGGGTAACTTAGTTATGATATCTGTCCTCAGGCCCATCTTACAGCAGCTCAGTCTTCAGTCTGGGCTAAACTGCAAAACTTTGAAGGCCCTATGTGCAGATTTTGTCAGGCAGAGAGACAAGGACTAAGGCAAAGCAAGTGGCTAGCTTACCCCTAAACAAAAAGATATCCATGTCCCTTGTCATGCCACAAATGCAAAAAATTGTGGCTGTGACCATAGGTTGTATAATTGTATGCTGCTTTTTTTGTAGTGAAATGTCTATATTTGCTTTGTGTCAGGAGAGAGCAGGCAGCCCAGAGCTACCTGTGCTCTGCTGCTGCCCCAGGCAGATGCTCCTAGGGCTTCAGGGGCCAATCCTACATGCCTGGGGAACTCCCAAGAGCGCTTGCCCAATGACTGCAGAGGCACACCACAGGAATCCCTCAGCAGAGGATTCCCCAGGTATGCATCTTGTGCTTCTGCACCCTGACTTGGGGCACATCTCTGCAAATGAGAAACCCTGGATTCCCTGCTTGCAGAGATATGCTCTGGGAATCCCACAGTAGGGATTTTTCCAGGTGTACATATCATGCTGCTGCACCCTGACTTGGAGCAGGCTTCTACAACCAGGGAAACTCTGGTGTTCCCCTACTCACAGAGACATGCCTTAAGTGTTATCCTGTAGGAGTAGGCCCCTGCTGTGCTTGGGAGTGGCAGGCATGCAACCCTGCAGGACAATGGGCAATGCCTGTTTGCCCAGTGAATCAGATCAGGTGTGTTGGGGGACGTCCCAGCACAGCTGATCTGCTTTATTTGGCGATATCTGTTTATAGCCTCAGAGACCCCTGCAGCTGTTTCATAGGAAGATCTGGACCTAGATCTATTTCTTTGCCTTGCCTTGTTAGATAGAAGTTCTAAGATTCTTCTTAAGGAGTGCAACATTCCCCGGACACTTCTATGCCTGTTTTCTATCTTTCTAGTACTTCTTGGAATGCTAAGAGATAATATGGTTAAGATAGATTCTATGTCCTAATCGCTTTGCAGTTATCTCTAATGTGAAGTAGAGATAATGGTTAGGCCTGTGCGAAGCAGCTAGTATTCGCTTCGGATTCGGCCAATTCGGGGGACAGCGATTTGATTCGAATCATTGTCCTGATTCGATTTGGCTAAATCTCTGAATCAGCCAGGCCAGGCCCATCCCCTTCCCCTCTCCCAGCCAAGCAATGGCTGCTCTGCCCCCCACACCTCCTAGCACTTGGGGGGGGGAGCCCTGACTCAGCAGGTGCTGCTGGGCAGGGGAGCGATCCCCGCTGCCCCACACTGGCCCTTTAAGAAGAAAAAAACACCCTGAAGAAACCCCGGGATTCACCGCTCCTGCCAGCGGAGGTGATCCCCGCTGCCATGTGCCACGTGGGGGGCTCTGCATGAACCCCCTAAGCCCCGAGGCTGCACCAGGAGTGCTGAGTCCCTGGGCTTTTCTTGGGTTTGTTAGTTTGTTTTATCTTAACGGGCCAGAGCCCTGGCAGGCAGGGCAGCCATGGGGGGACTGGGTCAAGGGGGCTCATGCAGAGCCCCCCATGCAGCGTGGGCCAGTGGGGGGCAGCGGAGATCACCCCCCACCTGGAGAGCACCAGGGCTTTTCTTTAAAGTACCAGGAGCTGGGGCAGGCAGGGGGCAGCCATGGGGGGCTGGGGGA